CGGCAGCTGGCAAGTGGCTGCTGTTTTAAGCGCTGTCACTAGAGTCAGTGCCACGCCACGATTTCGTTTCAAATTCGCGTTCGGGGCATAATTCTTGGCGGCTGTCAAAATGTCGCCATTGCAGGCTGCTCCCCCCTCATGCGCTTCTGTTGATGTTATCGGGATGACAGTGATGCGCTTCTGTTGATGTTATCGGGATGACAGTAATAGGAGGCCGCGGGAAGGGCCCGGGGGAGCATAGTGCCCAGGAAGATATATGGAAACGTCATACCAACCGCACGCGTGCGCATCATCTTGTGGAGCGGGGAGACCAGTCGGCTGTTTTGCTTCATCGCGTGCTGGCGACGATGCTGTGTCATTATGGCTCTGCAGTCATCATGTTAGTTTGCTTTCTGAGCCTCCAACCGACATCCAGCCAATGCTTTTAAGCCATGTATTGACGGACGCTGGAACTCATTGCGAGCTGTAGATATGTGGTGGAAGGAATGGGTTTTTTTAAAAAAAATTAATGGTATGTTAAACGGAAATACCAAAGAGCTCATACTGGAATGACTTACTCAAACACGTACGAGCATCTCAGCACGTCAGCGCATAGCATTCCACGGCGTTCTTTACCATTCATTCCATTTCGCTTGCGTCGTACCCACTCAGCTCATCAGCTCACTCAGCTCACCCAACCAGACCGATCAACAGAGTGTTGCATTCTTAACTGTTCTTCGTGATAAAGCTGCTGCTGATTAATTTTCGCAGCACTAGAGGGGTAAATACTGTGTCTTGCCAATCTTAGAGGCCACCCTCTGGCTTGCTAAGCCTGGTCGATTCTCTTAAATCTTTCTTAACACGCTAACGACCTTTGGCTTTCGTTTGCCCGCTATAAATTTGTAGAAATGTCAAGGGGTTTTTATTGTATTGCTTTTCTAATCGATTAAGTTTTAAGTGGTGATCTTTGCTTACTTCTCAGTCCATTTCAGGGAGACCTTATCTACCTACCTGAACATTTTATTGGACTGAGATTCTTGATCATAGCCTACAAAAAATCAGCACGCAGAGCCGGAAAATATCAAACCTTTTCATCTATCCAAAAACGCTCCAGTCTGCTCCTCCGTGATGATTATCAACGATGCGATCCATGAATTGCTCATTCTTTTTAGTTTCGTCCAACAAATACAAATCAAACTTCCTGTAATGAAGGCAGGTTAAATCACAGATGTTTCTGGGAGAGACAGACGGCACTGTCCAATACCTGGACCTAGACGTACTGGGCCGTCGGGGAAGGCCCTTAGCGCGGTGAAGGTCCTTATCACCAAGACCACGGTCGTCCGGGAATGCCGACTTCTGGTGCAGCGCTATCCCATGTCTGGTGGCTATCAGCCGGGACTCCTCGCTCTGTCGAGCTCCAAATCGACCGGGGCTCCTCGCTACGTCGGACCGCCGCCTCGCTCCGTCGGGCCGCCACCGGCCGGGGCTCCTCGCTCCGTCGGGCCGCCACCGGCCGGGGCTCCTCGCTCCGTCGGGCCACCACCGGCCGGGGCTCCTCGCTCCGTCGGACCGCCGCTGGCCGGGCACCTCGCTCCGACGAAGCCGACGTGGCGCGGACCGATCGATGCCAGCCATCGACGAGCGTCGCGTCCTTGCCGACGCGACCGTGAATTAGTCGGCCTTGCCTGTCCTCGACGAGTCATGCCTCCTGCCGGGCGAAGAGTTGCGTGACAGTAGGTAACACCGCGAAGACAGCCACGAGTGACATTTGGATCTTCAGATGACTTGCTCTTCAGTTGCGCGGCGTGGTTTGCTTTGCGAATGTGAAGCGGTTGTGTTTGGAACCACATTTTGACATTCGCAGCTCTTGTAAGCGAAACGTATCAGAGGAGATAGATGTCGCCGTGGACTCATGCATCAAAGCTGGAAGTGGGACGATGAGATGGGCTGTGGCTTCGACAGCTCTTCAACTCTTCATGCTCTGATTGCTCTTCCTTTGTCATATCTGATTTGATGTTGGGTATTGTACATGTGTCAACCAATTCAGGAAGAAATAGAGACGGCCGCGGTCTGCTCTCCTACACGAATACCGGAGAAGCCTTGCAACAAAGCTGATCTTGTTGACATCCAACCGTGCTGAAAGTTGGCAGCCCGTGCCACGAGTGTTTGCAAGTCGCCAGAACACGAACTTGTTGACATCCAGCCGTGCTGAAAGTTGGCAGCCCGTGCCACGAGTGTTTGCAAGTCGCCAGAACAACCCGTGCCACGAGTGTTTGCAAGTCGCCAGAACACGAACCGCTGTTAGTAAAACCAGCCATTTCAGAGCCTGCATCCTGTTGTCGCTGAGCTCAGTCATGTAAGCACCAAATTTCTACCAAATAGAGCACATTTTAGCACAAAGGAAACGCCATTACCGGCAAGCCGAAGAGCGGGCCATTAACACTGCAGTTACACGCGTAGCTGTTGAAACACTCGTCAGATCATCATGCAAGAAATACGGTCTTCCATCGCAGTTTGTAACGCTAGTGCACAGGCCATGAATGACCAGAATTCGATCCATTCAAGAAGCACAACCAACTGCGGTTTCCTGAACCGTCCCGAACTGACAGATCCGGTAAAAGCCGTGCTCGTGGCCCTCTGGTCAGAGCGCGGCAGGCGGGTAGGATCTGTGTCTCCTGACTGCGCCCATCAGACCGTGGCGGTGGACGGTCAACAGGCGATCACCAGAAGAGGTGCGCTGAGACAGCGGCCAATGCATTGAGACATTGCGGGGCTCACATAGATCGAACCCATCCCGAAAAACGCACTTTGAACTATTAGGGTTGTGAGGCCAGAGTTTTCGCAAAAAGCTATGCATAGCAAGGATTTTCATCCTGAAGTCATCTTAGCAAATTGTTTTTACATGTATATCTCTGGCAACGGTCGTGGTCCACAATTCAAGCCGATTCACTGGCAAGCACCGAAATCCAATCACCAGAAAAAAAGGGTCTCTTGTCTCTCCTGACCCCTGGTGACTTCCGGCCGTTTCTTACGCCGTGTCTGCCACCGCACGGCCCTCCGGCCGGGCCGGATCTGCGGCCTCCTCCCGCTGGCGCGCCGCGCTGCCGCCAGAGCGAGGCGGTGTCCTCTGCCCCCGGCCGGGCCTGAGCGGACGCCCATAATCTAGTTGCGCCAGACGTGATGGGAATGCGCGCTGCTCCAATCGTGGGTCAGTCAGGATCAGAGCCGGGCTGCCACGCCAGCTGGATGACGATGGGAAGTGGGTCAAGATAGCGCTGACAGGTCCCTCCTCCACCTCGTCAGCCGTCTCTCTCTCTCTCTCTCTCTCTCTCTCTCTCTCTCTCTCTCTCTCTCTCTCTCTCTCTCTCTCTCTCTCTCTCTCTCTCTCTCTCTCTCTCTCTCTCTCTCCTCTCTCTCTCCTCTCTCTCTCTCTCTCTCTCTCCTCTCTCTCTCTCTCTCTCTCTCTCTCTCTCTCTCTCTCTCTCTCTCTCTCTCTCTCTCTCTCTCTCTCTCTCTCTCTCTCTCTCTCTCTCTCTTTTAATGTAGCTACAGTCATCCCAGACTAATGGCAACATGATGTGAAAAGTGTTTACGAAATGGCAGTAAAGCTGACAGACCAATCATCCTTCAATGCAAAAATGTTGAAACTTTGGCAGTTGTAACGGACGTTGTTTCGACCGCTTCCTTGCATGCTGTGCCACACCATCCATGCGCACATACAGACCTTTTATTTGAGCTGTGTTTAGTCGTAAAGAATAAAGTCGAGTCCATCGCGATAGGATGTATCTGCCGGACATGACTCAGGGATGCACCCCTGCCGCTCATAAATGTTCCAGTCTCAAGCCCAATGGATATCTTTGCCAACTGTGGCGTAGCGTATTATAACGTAAAACGGCAATTTATGCCACTTTTATGTTGTACCGTGCGAGAAAGTAGGGCGGAAAGGGGGCTTTTGCTTTAGTTCATGGCTGTAAATCATTGATGAATACCAATTGGTTCAAACCACAGATTGAATGTCCCTGTGCATCTAACCACACAAATATCAACAATGGTGGAGAATGCTGGCAAACATGAGAGTAGCAATAAATCCAAAAGGCGCATTGCTCAAACACAAGACCTTGAATTTTGTAATGTTGAAAACGTTTGCAAAGCCACTGTCCCAACTACCACAGCGCACTTCCCATCCCTAAAAAACAAAATAGTGGAAGTTTTCTCATTTTAGGATGTGGTTGCGAATTCCAACACACACCCGGGACACAGGCTGACGACACTGCCAAGGCTTGTGAACTGTCGAGCCGTACCTCTGGCCCTTGACCTCTGACCTTAGACCTCTGCCTCATGCCCTTCTCAAGGTAAATATTGTTGTCTAAGCTTTCCCTCACGGTCGGCGACGCGTTTGCAAACAATCAGTTCCGGTTCTGACTGGGCGGCGAGGAACAGAACTACAGAATTACTCCAGTTGCGGAGATGAGAAGCACGGGAATGGTCATGGCTGACATTGCTTTGTATTGGTTTAGCTTCGCATGTTTCGTGGCTTGACTGTTTCTGTTCAGACATGCTCTTTTGCCTTTTATCTTTTGCCCCTTCTATTCAACCTCTTTTACAGAATTTTGGACTGCTCACGTCATAGTGTACTGAACCCGTTTTAATTTTTCGAATTTGTTTCTTATCATGGCTTGCTAGTCAGCATAATAAAATTCTGGGCATCAGTGCTGTACAAAAATATGTGTACTACATCGTCCGTCAGGAGAGAGAGATTTTCGAGACGGTCACTGTCATGGGGTGACAACCTCTTCACAGCATCATATCCATAAAAATTGGGACCGATCATTGGCCATATACAAGTGAACTGCCACCGTTAGCTATAAGGCCACACAGGGTCGTGTTGCCCGGACACGCGCACGGCACGGCCCCGTGCTTCACACGGCGTCGGCAGGTCACCCTGCAAGTGCTGACTCCCACGCAGCGCGGAGCGGGCGCTGCGGAGTTCCACCGTCGTGACTCGCTTCCGACTGTTGCAGATCGGAGGATTGATTTCTGAGGGCAACCCGACCCGACCTACGACGTCACTGGAGCTCGCCTGATCGCTCCGGGGATCCCATCTGCGACGTCGCGTAAAACTCGTCTGGAAGCCCACGTGCAGCCAGCTGACGCCATGCAGTTGGAGATCCAGGTGGCACTCAACTTCGTCATCTCCTTCATGTACAACAAGCTGCCGCGGCGACGCGTCAACATCTTCGCCGAGGAGCTGGAGAGGGCGCTGCGCTTCAAGTTCCAGAGCCACTGGTACCCGGACCGGCCGTTCAAGGGCTCCGCCTACCGCTGCCTGAAGACGGGCGACCCTCTCGATCCCGTGCTGGACGCGGCGGCGCGCGAGAGCGGCCTGGCTCTGGCCGAGATCCGCCAGAACCTGCCGGAGGACCTCTGCGTCTGGATCGACCCGGGCGAGGTCAGCTACCGCGCCGGCGAGAAAGGCGCCGTCAAACTCCTGTACTCGGAGCCGGCCGCCGAGCGCGTCAGCGAGGACCGCTGCGACCACGAGGTCACCTCCACCTTCAACCCGGAGGCGCAAAGCTTCCGGCCCATCGAGGCGCTGGCGGCGTCGCTGGGCTCGCTGGGCGTCGCCTCGCCGCCGGCCGGCAGCCCGTTCGGGCCGCCGGCGGCGCCGCGAGCGTCAGCCACGCCGCCGTTCCGCACCGCCAGCCCGGCGACCGGGTTCGCAGCGCACCGGCCGCGCGCGCCCGTCACGTTCACCACGGCGGCGTTCGCGCAGACCAAGTTCGGCAGCACCAAGCTGAAGAGCAGCGGCAAGCGCGGCAGCCGGATGAGCCCCACGGAGTTCAGCAACTACATCAAGCAGCGCGCGCTGCTGCAGCAGCCGCCGGCACTCTTCGCGCCTTTCGCGCAGCTGGCGCGGCCGCTGTCGCCGGCGCCGCCGCCCGAGGCGCTCGCCGCGTTCGCCGCGCCGGCAGCGGCGTTCGGCGGCGCGTTCGATGCGCCGCCGCCGCCGCCGCCACCGCCGCCGCCGCCACCACCAGGACCGGACCTGCTGCTGCCGCCTCTGCCGCCGGCCGCCGCCCTGACGCCGGAGCTGCTGGAGAGCCTGACTTACGCCTCCAACCCGCACCTGCGGCACCTGCTGGTGGCTAACTAGCCGGGCCGCAGGTAGCCGGCCTGCGCTGTGCCGCCAGACGGCTCCACTGGTAACCAGCTGGCTTTGCAACCGGCCAGCCCGCTCTGCTGGCCGCCAGCTAGTATTGCTGTTCATCTGCTGACTCTGTAAGTCACCAGCCAGGTCCATTGGTCGCCAGATACGCCGCCGAGTGGCATCTGTCCGCGGTTTCGGGGCCTGGCCTGTCAATGGTCAGACCGTCTGACTGTTTGCCCGTTAGACTGTCGGACTGTCAGACTGTGGCCACCTGCTGGCTCTGCTGGCCGGCCAGCCGCGGCTCTATCGGGGCTCTACTGACAGCGGCCCGGCGCGGCGCCGCCGCCGTCCGGCGCTGCTTCGCCCGTAACTGTGATCGTTCACTCTGGTAGTGAGTAGCAGGTGACGTGTTGTGATATGCGGTGGTTGTGTGGCTGCGGTGGTTGTGTCCCTCTACCCGCTCCAGCTTGGCCCGTTTCTGCTGATTCGGTCGAAGCCCGGTGTCATCAGCGACGGATGAACCGAGACAGGGGTTTTGGGCTTTATCTGAGAAGTAGCACACATTGCGTGACTTCTTATCATACCTCTTTTAGGATACTGTGCACTCTCTGAACGCGTTTTCAACTATCGCTGAAGTCAAGTCGCGGCTGCGCGTCTGAAGTACATGTAGCACTAGCAATCTGCGCAACTACCGTGCATTCTCCTGACTGGTGAAGCATCAGAGTAATCGTTAAAGCATCACTTTATTTACCGGCATCCTGTCACATCCTTCACGCTGCGGTATGACGTTATTTTTAGATTTTTTACTCGCTCGAGGAATCGTGACTTTAAGCAATGTTTGATGTAGATACGCGCCTTTTTACAAAATGGCCAATGGGTGTTGACAAGCTGATTGAATAAGTTTGCTGGCACTGTGGTGGGAAGTCAAAGGCAGCCAACGTCCCGCTGATATTTCTTTGCAACTTTTCGGTGTGCAAGGAGAGAACTGGATTTCGGATTGCATATACCGGGTTTAATATGGTTACATTGAACTCCAGATGAAGCACGAAATCGATACGTCACATGAGTTTATCTGGCAATGCTGTGCAAAGGTCGATAAATAACTGCTGCAAGGCCTTAAGAAAGCAATCGCATTACCGTTGGCAAACTACATCCGCTTCATTTTCTAGCGGCCTAGCAGCTAATGCGCTGACAGCATTGTGCGAGCCAGGTGGACTTGTTCGTCTGCGTAACCTGCGTGATTTGAGGCCAGAGCTGTGTTAAATGTGTAACTGAAGACATCAGGGATATTCTGTGTGATGAGGAGCTGTGGATGGCAGGTTATAACGGGCCTGACCTGCCCAGTCTTGAGAGTTGGTGCCACCCTTAACACCCTCAACAAACCACTTTCATTGTGCTTCAAAGTAGATGAACTCATCCTGCAAAAGCGCCGACCGAAATGCGCGTCTTAATTTCACGGGCCCAAATACAGTGATGGCTGAAATTGATTACAGCTGGATGGCGGCTAAATGGATGCGTGAGCTGAAATACCCGCCGCCAGGGAAATGCCAGATTAATTTTGCATGTTCAGCATCGTCGCCAGCTACCAGAGCTGGTCTGCTAGCCTGCTGGTCTGCTGGTCTGCTTCCCAGCTGGTCGGACGCAGGTTCGGGGCTTTGAAAAGATGCTCACATGCAACCGGCAGGGCAGCTCTTTTCGCACGGGTATTCTGCATCTTAGTCGTTCAGGTGGACTTTATGCACAGGTGCAGCCGGTAGTATATTTGGAAGCTATTTAGACCGACATGTTGATTAGTATTCCGTTCGAAAATTGTGGTGCGGGTGCGAGCAAATCTCAAGACTGGGCATATATTTGACGTTGCAGTTATTGTCGTGGGACGTTTCCATCTGTTGATGTTTGAAATTGAACACTTATTTTTGGCAAAGGAAGGAAGGGACAGGGAAAGGCGGCATGTGTGAAGACGTGTGTATGCGTGCATGTCCGTGACCCTCTGTTTTCGGTCCCACGGGAGTGCGCGCGAGCGGGGTCACGTGACTTGTCTGCAGCGTTCAGGCGGGCCCTCTGCCTGCGATCCAGTGCTACCCAATCTCAGACTCTGAATGGTACAAACGCCGGCCGGTCCGGGCGAGCTTGGGCGGCCAGCCGGCCGGCCGCTGCGTCGCTGCCGACGCCGCCGACGCTGCCAAGGCCCCATCGATTTTGTGTCGGCCGACCTCCACCGGGCCGGCTCCCACCGCCGGCGGCCCTGACGAACCGTTGACTGTCAGCGCGCCAGCGCATTCCGGCCGGCGTTGCCAGTTCTCTAAAATACTACATCGTCGGGCTATAAACATAGGCGGACTGGTGCTGTTCGGTGAAAAGAGGCCTAGCGCAGCCTCGACCCTGGTCCTTCGGGAGTGTTCGATGGGCCTGACAGGCGGTCCAGGAGCGCGCGCGCGCGGGGAACGGAGAGCTGGGCTGAGCAGGCTGGGCTTTACTACCGTCGGTGAACGTTCCTCCTAGTCCACGAATCGTTGGTTTGCAAATCTTTGATTCAGATGCATCGTCGTCATGGCGGCTCGGCTGTGCACTTACAACACTTCTGACACGCCGTTCTGTTTACTCTTCTGTCCTTAAAACACCCTAAAGTTTCTTATGGCGTCTGCATCCATGCAATTTTTAGCGGTCCAGTTGCAATTTCATATCCTTTCTCCCGAAATCGAACGGCTTTGTCCATTCATCATGATTTACATCGTCTGTAGCCTCTCAGTATACTGGCATCCCTCTCACGCATTTCTTCATGACATGTAAGTCCTTCAGAATGTTTGATGCGTCGCTCAGGCGTCAATGATACAGTATATCTGCTCAGTCAGCTTTCGAACGCAGGTGATGCACTCCTGCCGTCGGTTAGAACGGCGTAAAGGCAATTGGGCGTGCGTTGCATCATTATATTTTACGGGGCGTTTAAGCGCTGAGATAATATTCGCCCTATCTTTTGCCCCTTTGACGCAAGCAGAACGTGCAGCTTTAACAATGCTTTTGCTGAGTGATATTTGTTATCAGAGTGCATGACATTATCACGGCGTTATCAGGCACTTGCTGTATGCATGTCCTGGGGAAATCTTTGTTCTTATCTTTTCTTGAAGTCTTGGCTACCGTTCGATGCGTCTCGGAGAGCTCTGATCTAAACTGATCTCTTCACTTGAGAAATGTATCAGCCCCACCACGAGAAGGCGCTTGAAGTTATGCGCTGTAGTCTAACAGGCCTCTCCAAATTTTGCGGCGGTGGGAAGTTTTGACCTCTCAAAATATTCAGACGGCATAATTTCCAACCATGATGCATCGCTGGGCGGTTGGCGCCGCGCCAGTTCACCGCATGTTGTTACGGCTTGCTTCGACACATGCATTAATAGGTACAAACTACAGAATACTATCGATCTGTTGCTGGCTCTGTGTATGAGTGTTTCCAAGGATATAAAGTAGTAGATGGCGTAGCTCCTGATGCATATGATGCACCAAGCTGTACATCGTGCTGGTGAGTGCGCCCAGACTAAAGTCGGACCACCTGGATGCTTGATATGGTCAACACTTCTCAACATCTCTCAAACTTGGGATGTATCTGCGGAATCCACGGCTCAATACGCATTGTGTGGGTAAAAATTCCTCTATTTAACCAGCAAACAGGGCTCACCTCCTTGGTGCGTGTCGACTAGCGACCCCTAATCAAGGTTGCAAGAAAAGGGTTGAGAAGGGCGTTACTGTACGCGTGTTAAGCTGTGTTACGCATGTTTGTGCTATTTGTCTGATCGCATTTCATGGGCATATTGTAGACATTGCATTTATCGCACTGACGTCATCTGAGAAGTGAATGTCAGACGTGGCAGAACGTCAAGTATAATGAATGCGCGCGTGATGCGACGCTCGTGTACGGGTGTGAGCATGCGCGCGTATGTGTCTTGGCACGGCTCCACGCCCGTGAGCCCGACGAGGGGGTGTGACTGGCGGACATGTGCACCCAGAGCTGCCAGGCTCTCCTGGCGCGGCGCCGTGGGCCACGTACGCAATACCTGCCTTGTGTCCCGGAGGTAATGGCGCCTGCGCGAAGACCGTGGCTCCGCCGCGCCTGCGTCGGCACACCGCGGGGCTGCAGGGTCAGATTTTGTAACGCCCGCAGCAAGCCACCGGGGCCGAACATCAAGCTCATTTACGGCACGCACTCTCCAAACAGTGGACAAATCACTTCCCTGCGAACTACCGCACACAAAGAACCGTACGTCCTTCAAGCGGGACTTTCTCAATCAGTACACTTTAGATCGGTGTACATTTCAAAGACTTTCAGCTATGCCCAAAGATTATTTGTGCTAGTATGCATGCAAAATTGAATCATTTTAGCTATTCGATTTAGACATTGTGTCGGCAAATGTATCCGTGAACTTTGTATATACATGACATGTCCTCGTGTGGGACGCATTCATATCTTAGGCAGAGTAGCTTTAGTATCAGAGTGTTTATAGTTCTCGTTGCGTGTACTTATTCGTCTATTTACTGCTCTGGGTAATAGTAGATCTGCTTTTCAAAGACGTGGCACTTTGGGTTATGCGGTGTTTCAAAGCTTCTACATTTCAGTCGCACCATTCACTGTGTCTATATGTGAAACTCTTGAAAAGGTATCATTTATGAAGAGCGGATACAGTCATGTTAAAGCATGGTAGAATGTTTATTCCGTGTTTTATGGAAGCACTCAATTCATAGCACCACACGGGCAACACCTTCCCAAAGCGCTTTCCTTCTCGCTCCCTCATGATCGGTAGTCGGATGTGCGAAGCAGGTGAGTCCAGGAGACCCCTGTGCTGTCGGTGAGTCCAGGTGACCCCTGTGCTGTCGGTGAGTCTAGGAGACCCCCGTGCTATCGGTGAGCCCAGGTGACCCCTGTGCTGCCGGTGAGCCCAGGTGACCCCTGTGCTGCCGGTGAGCCCAGGTGACCCTGTGCTGCCGGTGAGCCCCTTGCCCTGATTCCGAGCCAGCCG